GTCCCAGGTGTATTTCCACCCCCCAGGTGTGTCCCAGGTGTACCTGAGGTGTGCCTGGATCTCGATCTCGCGCCGCAGCTGATGCTCCACCCCCTCCTGCTCCACCTGGGACTTGAAGAGCACCTTGAGGGCCACCAGGAACCCCGAGCGCCGCTCCCGGGCCAGGTAAACGTTCCCGAACTTTCCCTTCCCCAGGGGCCGGCCCACCTCGAAATCCTCCAGGGAGAACGTCCGGCTGTGGGGACACGGGGTCAGGGGACACCTGGGGACACCTGGGGACACCTGGGGACACACCTGGGGACACACCTGGGACAGCTGGGGACAGCTGGGACAGCTGGGGACACCTGGGGACAGCTGGGGACACCTGGGGACACACCTGGGACAGCTGGGGACACCTGGGACAGCTGGGGACACCTGGGACAGCTGGGGACACACCTGGGACAGCTGGGGACAGCTGGGGACAGCTGGGGATACCTGGGGGACAGCTGGGGACACCTGGGGACACCTGAGAGCATCTGGGGACACCTGGGGACACTTGGGGACACCTGGAGATACCTGGGGACACCTGAGAGTATCTGGGTACACCTGGGGACATCCTGGGGTAACACCTGGGGACACCAGAGGACACCTGGGGACACCCCTGGGGACACCTGAGAGCATCTGGGGACACCTGGGGACACTTGGGGACACCTGGGGACAGCTGGGGGACACCTGGGGACACCAGAGAACACCTGGAGACACCTGGGGACACCTGAGAGCATCTGGGGACACCCCTGGGCACACCTGGGGGACACCTGGGGGACACCACCCCCCCCCCCCATCATTCCAAAGGGCTTTGGGACCCCCCCCCAGGGACCCCTCCCCCCTCGGGGACCCCCGAGCCCCCCACTCACACGGGTGGGGGAGGGGCTGGCAGCATGCTGGGCTCCAGGGGCACCCGCCCGGCTCCTGGGGGGCACAAGGGGGGGGTCAGCACCCCAAAACCACCAAAAAACACCCCAAAAACACCAAAAACACCCCAAAACCACCAAAAAACACCCCAAAACCACCCCAAAACCACCAAAAACA